CGCACGTTTATGTGGGTGCATGCATGTGTGTGCATACATGCTGGCACGTGTGCATGCATACATGCGCGCACGTTTATGTGGGTGCATGCATGTGTGTGCATACATGCTGGCACGTGTGTGTGCATACATGCTGGCACGTTTATGTGGGTGCATGCATGCGCGTGCATACATGCTGGCACGTGTGTGTGCATACATGCTGGCACGTTTATGTGGGTGCATGCATGCGCGTGCATGCATGCTGGCACGTGTGTGTGCATACATGCTGGCACGTTTATGTGGGTGCATGCATGCGCGTGCATACATGCTGGCACGTGTGTGTGCATACATGCTGGCACGTTTATGTGGGTGCATGCATGCGCGTGCATACATGCTGGCACGTGGGTGTGCATACATGCGTGCGAGCGTGTGTGTGTTTACATGTGTGCGAGAGTGTGCGTGCTTACCTGCGTGCAAGGGTGTGAGTGTGTGTGTGCATGCATGCTTGTGCATCCAGGCCGGAGTGGTCATTACATTAACCTTTTCTTTGCATCTAGGACTCGATCTCCGACGTGAAGGCTCTGCTGAAGAAACACGAGGACTTTGAGAAGTCTCTGCAGACGCAGGGAGAGAAGATCGCCACGCTCGAGCAGCTAGCAGCCGACCTCGTCCGCGTGAGTGTTGCCGCTCTCCCCCTCCCCTCCTCCCTCTCTACTGCACTCCTCTGCTGTGCTCGCCCCCTCTCCCCTCCGCTGCCACTGCACTCATTTGCGGTTACACGGACAACAGGCGTGGGGTGGCTGTAGTACTCTGAGATACGTTAACGAGTTAATGAGTTAATGAGATACATTAATAGTTATGATGGACTAATGAGAAATAATTAGCTATTGTGAAGGAAACTGCTAAGGTATCATATAGGAAAGAAATCTAAGCACAATATCGGAAAATTCAGAAACCTATTATTAAAAAAACGTCCAACTACAATATGATATATTCATTGTGTTATATTGTCTATTGAAATTAGGCATCGTGTATTTTCGGTGGGTGAAAGGTTTAGCTACTGTAATGTCTCCTTAATGTGACAAATTTGATCATATTTCGATAAACTGAATATAATCTGATAAATAATATCGATAATATCGGATAATATACCTACACGATATCTATATAATAATAATATATAATGATAGATAATATCGGATAAATTCTGATGACATATTTTCCTGTGCTTCACCAGAAGAACCACTTTGACAGTGACGGCATCACAGCGAGGTCAGCACAGGTCACGGCGAGGAGAGATCGTCTGCTTGCAAAGGCCTCCGCACGCACGCGAAAGCTAGAGGACTCGATGAAGCTGCAGAAGTTTCTGAGGAATGCTTACGATGTACGTTTCCCTGTTATTATTATTATTATTATTATTATTATTAAATCTTTATTGCATGTAATTCGAATATAAATAAATGTACTGAAGACATGTCACATGTGTTTTTTCATGGAGTAAAAATCTGTAGGGTACTGATAGGAATCTGAGGTATACTATCAACTTGTGTAAATGACACTTGCTGAGTCATTTTCGAGTTCCCACTTCAGTCACAGTGACTCCTCTACATATCTCAGAGTGTCTCAGAATATACACTGAATTTCGGCACCACTTGTAGTGGTAGTCATTGGTAGATTAAGCTACATGGATGAATCTCTGGTATTGGTTTCCCTATCACCCTGTGTAAAGAACGCTCCTTTGAGTCATTTTCGAGTTTCCCTTCAGTCATGGTGATTCTTCTACATGTTTCACATGTGTCACTGAGTGTCTCAGAGTGTCACAGAGTATACACTGAATTTCTGCACCACATGTAGAGGTTGTTATAGGTAAATGAAGCTACGCGGATGCGCTACATGTTGGTTAATGTCTGTCTGACGCGCACACAGGTGACTAACTGGGGTTAATGTCTGTCTGACGCGCACACAGGTGACTAACTTGGGTTAATGTCTGTCCGACGCGCACACAGGTGACTAACTGGGGTTAATGTCTGTCTGACGCGCACACAGGTGACTAACTGGGGTTAATGTCTGTCTGACGCGCACACAGGTGACTAACTGGATGCAGGAGAAGATGCAGATGGCCTGCGATGAGTCATACAGGGAACCCGTCAACCTGCAGTCGAAGATACAGAAGCATCAAGCGTTCGAGGCAGAACTGCAAGCCAACAAGGGCAGAATCACCGCCGTGAAAAAGGTACTTCGTTCACAGCTAAATGGGTAGAAAGGAAAAGCGAGTACTTGTGCAGTTTTGCTGAGCGCTACCACGTGCGAGTAGAGTTTTGCAAAACATTTTATAGTTGTCCATATCATCAGGATGCTGGTCCCAGACTCTACTGAACGTGCCAGTGAGCCTAATTAGGAGTGACAGATGGAAGCGGGAGGAGGGGAGAGTGCAGGTGTTTTCATACGTTATATTTCTGCAGGAGGGAGAACGACTCATTGCGGACGAACACTATCTAGACGACCTTTGTGCGAGCACGGTGCAAACACTGCAGAACAGCTGGGAGACACTGACAGACACGTCGAACATAAAGAAGGAGCGTCTGCAGGATGCGTACCAGGTAAGACCGATGTGCAAGCAGCCACGGTAGTGGTACACACTACGATGTAGGCCACGGTAGGTGATGTACAGGTACAGCCGAGTCGCTAGTCTCCGTCACTTCTTAACTAAACAGAAGATCCATGTGTTGGGGTGGGGGGCTAGTGCTAGTCAGGGGGAAGCTGGGGTGCCTAGGTTTAGGTCTGGTAGGTAGCCACAGGAGGTGAGGTTCAGGTACAGGTGCAGGCAAGTCGCTAGTCTTAACTAGACAGCGTCGCGTTAGAGTCGCGTTACTTAACTAAACAGAAGGTCCATGGTGTGGGTAGGACTGATGTTCGTGAGGGTAAAGAAGTGTATAGCTGGAAGATAGTGTAGCACTAGTGTAAATGAAAGAATGAAAGAATAAAAAAATAGTGTAACTAGTGTAAAGGAATGTAGCACAAGTGTTAGTACGGGCAGCACTGGTGTTATTGGCATCGCAACACAACCGACTCTCCCCATGAAGGATTCCCAGTGTAGGACTGAGCAGACAGTGTAGCACACACACTGGTGTGAGTGAGGGTATGACTGGTGTGAGTGAGGGTATGACTGGTGTAAGTGAGGGTAAGTACTGGTGTAAGTTAATGTAGCACTAGTGTAAGTGAGTGTAGCATAGCTGTAAGTGAAGGTAGCACTAATGTTAGTGAGTGTAGCATAGCTGTGAGTGAGTGTAGCATAGCTGTGAGTGAGTGTAGCATAGCTGTAAGTGAAGCTATGCACTAATGT